TGGCATTGCCAAGGTTGATTTGGTGACAGGAGAGGTGACCAAGTTTTTATATGGTGATGAGAGATTTGGCGGTGAACCGTGTTTCGTGCCCGAAAAGATGGCCGTAGAGGAAGATGAAGGGTGTGTGATGAGCTTTGTGAGAGATGAGAGGAGAGAGAGGTCTGAGTTGGTGATAGTGAAGCAAGTGGCCTCAGTGAGGTTGCCTTCTAGAGTGCCTTATGCTATCCATGGCACATTTGTTAGTTCACAAAATTTAAATGAACAAGTTCTATGTTAATACAATATTTTGTATTTGTATGCAGTTTTTGTCATGTGCCCATTTGCAAACTTGTTTGTTTGTGTTTGAATTTTTTTTTTAACAGAGTATTAAATCTCATTCCCTAAAAAATAAAGTAGAAAGGAACAATGTGATTTTTTTAATAAAATTGTCGGATAAGGTAGAAGTACACGTAGTAATGACATCGGGCACATAATCGTTAATTCTAAAAAAAAGAGTAAAATTTTGATGTAATTAATGCCATGATATAGAATTATGAATAATACTGGATGTATTAATTAATATATTAATAGATAATGTGACATAATTTTAAAAATTTTGAGTATTTATAATTTGTATAATAGATAGAATCAATAATAATAACATAACACTAATTGATATATTAATATTTATATATGATATAATACTAATTGATACACTATTAATTAATACATATGACACCATCGGAATGATTTTATTAGCAAAATATAGGTGGACAATCCAGCACAATCCTTGACCAAAGCAAAAAATGATTTGACAACGCTAAACTCCACAAAATCTGTAATCTCCAATTTCTTTACCTTCTCTAACCTGGTTATTAATGTTAGGTATTTAACAGGGGATCAAAGTTCTCTCCCGTGATCGGATTGGAACATGTTGTTGGAGCTTTGGCGGTTTACTATAAGTCTTGTTTCGATAATCTGAATCGTTCAATATGTAGAATTCGTCAAGTATTTTATCCTTATAAAAAATCACGTTGGTTGGATATCGATAACTACTCGATCGGATCAGATTTATGTCAACGGTAAATATAATTTTTAAAATAAATTATTGACAAAAATATGATCCGATCAAGTTGTTATCGATATCCGATTAATGTGATTTTTTGTAGAAATACTCGATGAGCTTTACACATTGAACAGTTCGAATTATCGAAACATGATCCATGGTGAGCTCCACAGGCCCAACAACATTGCCAAGTTGTCCCCTTAACAAGATTGTCAAGAAAACTATGAAATAAAAATGATTAAGTTCAATACATTGTAAAATTTATGTATATAGTAAATTTGATCACAATTGATATTTTAAAATAATATTCTAACTATCAATAATATTCTAACTGTACGGGGAGCAAATATTCCGGCGAGCCCGTACTCCTTTCTTTCGAGCTCCGTCTCTGTCCGATCACCTGCGAACCAATAAGGGTGAGCTACCCGGCGGTGTGTGGCCGGAAAAACCCTCCGACGATCAAGTTAGAACACACACACAGAGGATAGCTAGAGAGAAGGGAGAGAGAGTTTGGGTGTAAGAATTCCTTACAGAGATGTTCGTGTGTTGCGTATGGGGGGCGCAGACATGCTTATATACCTTCTGAGCCCCATATCTACCCCCAGTCATCTCCTGTCACGTGGCTCTACTATCCCATATGTCAGCATAAACCATGCCATTCATCACCTAACCTCAACTGCCTGTCATCACAGCTGGAGCTCGGCAGCCGAGCTGCTCTACCTCGGTCATGCCATGCTTCATACTTCAAGCGCCTAACCGGATAAACACACGGAGGACCGGGCTAGGCGGCATCCCGGCTGAGCCTACCCCGGATACTTTGATCGGCCTTCCTGTCGGTCAAACAGTCTCCTCGGCTGACCATGCCTTTCCGGGCATCGGTCACTCAACTTCCTCGGTTGCCTACGCCTTCCCGGGCGCCGGTCACTCGGCCAATCGAGCTTTGGCCATCTTCGGACCGAGCATCCTGGTCCGACCGAGCACTGCCTTATCGAGCAGTTTCTGTCCGGTCCGGGGTGACACACTCAGCCCGAACTCTGCCCGGCCCAAGTCTGGGCAGAAAGTCGATCATCTCGGACCCACGCATCGTTGGGCCCTCAACTTGCTCGGCCGTTACCTCGGCCCAACTCCAGATCACAAATCACCCTCTCAATATGTTTTACTTGATGTATTTTAAAATGTGAAAAGTTTAAATTATCAAAATAAGTCCCAAAATGAGTATTTCACCGCGCAGCAACCGTTGCTGCGCAGTAGCATCTCCACTCTGTAGGGCTAACCCAAGGGATGTTGACAGTCATGGCTTTGAAGAGAATAGGGACATGGGTTTTTTTGGCCTTGGGGAGCAATATGGTTACTTGGTTAGTGCCAATGAGTTTTCTGCAACAGGCTGGGAATCTGTGTATGTGCTGGGCCAAACTTGGGGAGATTTGTGGCAAGGAGATATCAACACCAGCATTGTCATCATCATCTTGTAAACTGAAAGAAAATAGAATCTGGAATGAGAAAACAAGAACGGAGGAAAATACGGCCAAGGTAGTGGCAACATGAGTGCAAAGTTTGATCATTTCTTTGATGTTCACTGCAATTTTGATGTAGGAACATGACTGAATGTTATGTGTGATGTGGGGGAAGGAGGTTGATAATGGAGCTGGGAGAATTAAGTGCGTGTGGTGTAGTCTAAAATTGATGTAGAGTGCATCAAGAACAGTGGGCTGGTCTTGTTTGTCAGACTAAACGTAATGCGTTTGTTATTTACATTACAATTTTTTGAAGATTGAGCTGCGAATTGATGAATGAGGAAAACCGTATGGCAGTTTTGGACAATTTGACAAATAAGAAAAATTGTTCACTGATCCACCTCAATGGGATATTCATCCTCTTGTAGTTTACTATTTTGCGAATCATCTCTCGCCAATTATAGTGGTTTGAGAAATTTTGCCAAAATATTTCATATTTAATATTGATCTTGTTTATACATTTCGGCGATTAAATTTCAAATATACAAATTTTATTTAAAATTGATGCGTATGATAAAAATTATGACATTTTAAAATTTGAAATAAAAAAATAATAATAATAACTAACTTGTGTAGTGCATAAGCTGTGTTTCACTAAATGGATAAATTCGTCTGAATTTTCACTTCAAATTTAAAAATGCAATTTAACTTGTTGAAGACTGAAATCAATGAAATTTTTTGAGTTAAACTTACTAAGCCGGCCACAAATGGGGAAATTCCGCTTCCTAGTGGAAACTCCGGCCGCGCTAGCTGCTTTCAGAGAGGATTACGGCATTCCGGCCAATGTTCATCTCGAACTGGCCGAAGAGGAGACCACTCCGTGGGGAAGAGTTGACCAATGCCCTTTCACCGTGCTCTCGATCGTTGAGAGGGGCCTTCATTTTCCACTTAACCCTCTTATAACCGAGTTCCTCCGCCGCACCGGGCTAGCACCCACCCAAGTGTCAACCAATACCTATAGAATAATCAACGGCGTTCACGAGTTGAACAATCGGCTAGGCACCAACTTGGGTCTAGCCGAGATATTAAGGCAATACACAATGGGCCATACCGGGGACGACTTAGCTTACTACTTGAAGATCAGACCGGGCAAAGAAAAGATTGTGACCGGCACCCCGGATAAAGATCTTCACGACGATGATTTTTTCTGGGTGTCGGGCAATTATGAAACCGCCGAGGTGCCGGGCTGGTTCATAAGCAAGGACTTCAGTTCTTCATGTAAGCCACTCAAACTTGCTCGGTGAACTTAATTCTTTAGTTTTTAACTAACCGGTTTCCCTGTTTCATTTGCAGCTATCCAAGCCTTGCAAGCCAACTACCAATTCCCCAACGTCGAAGCAATTCGGACCGTGCTTAGGTACCGTCACCGGGATTGCAACGATTTACTCGGCTATACCCCGACGTATAGGTATTCTGCCCCGCGCCGGAGTAGAGTAACCGACTTCCTCAGAGCTCTTTCGCCACCTCCAGATCCAACCCTACCCGACGTCCCGCTAATCCGGCTGACAGACGAGCAAGAGATGGCCAAAAGAAGTCGAATCAAAAACCTGCTCACCGCCACATCCGCCGAGGTGCCGAGCGTGGTAACTCGGTCGCCAGCCGCCGGTCAATCCAGTGGCGCCGTGGTCGCCCTTGCCACTCAATCCGCCGGGCAATCCAGCCGAGAAGCCCCTGCATGTCGGGCCGGAAAAAGAGCTCGGGCAGACCCGTCCGCCGAGCTAGTCACCGAGCTTACCACCGAGCACCCAACTGACGCCCCCGCCCCAGTGCCGGCCTGTAGGGGTGAGCATGGTCCGGATTGGACCGGATTGAGATAAAACCAGGACCAATCCGTTATTTACGGTTCCTAAAAAATTGGAACCAATCCAATCCGTTTAAATCATGGAACCAATCCGAACCAATCCATTTAAATACGGATTGGATCGGTTTAGGACCACAGATTCACATAATTAAATAACAAAAATATATATATAACACTTGAATTTCATAAAAATATAAACATAGCGCTATATTAGTTCCATAATAGCAACATGTTTTTCTATAATAACGACATACTGTTCTAGAATTTAAACAACCATAAGAAAACTGGTTTCACCATAAGTATTTAGACCATTGCAAATTAAAACTTAAAACTAGCAAACAAAAGTAATAAAAGAAGATATTATACGATTTTAGGTTTGAATTTAGATTTTACATAGAATAAGAAAAGATACTATGGGGGAGGATGTATAATAAAAATATAGACTATTTGTATACGGTCCGGATCGGTTCCAATCCGGAACCGTGGGATTCAATCCGGAACCAATCCGTGAACTACGGATTTTTAATTATTCAATCCGGAACCGAACCACGGATTCAAAAAATCAATCCAAACCTATCGGAATGGACTGGACTGGATCGGATTACGGATTTCACGGATTCCTTGCTCAGCCCTACCGGCCTGGCGCCCACATTTGAAGCACCGGGGTCAGGACATCCCGGCAACGGCTTCTATCAAAGCTGACAAAGAGCATTTGCTCACCTTTGATCTGACCAAGGCCCTGCTTCTACCGAGCGACGTGGTCGGCAGCGACCACGTCCCAGACACCCGGTTGGTCAAATCGTCGGTGAAGTCCATGGCCAGGGTAAGTGGATGTTGCTTTGAAAAATTTCATAAGTGTTTGTTCGGTTTCCTTTCTGCTCGGTCTCCTTTCTGATCAACTTTGCTTCTTTGTGCAGGCCATTCAAAAACAACACTTGGTTTTGGAGCGCATCCACCGGCTTAGGCAGAAAGCCAACGACACTGCCAGCCAGGTTGAAAGCCTTCAAGCCGAGCTCGGCCGGGCTAAAGCTTCTCTCGAGATGGCCAATGCGGATAATAATAGGCTGCTCAGTCAGCTGAATGCAGCCGAGAAGAAACAAAGTGAGCTCCAGACCGAGGTGGACACCCTTAAGAAGTCAGAGAAGAAAGCTTGCCGGGCTGCTAACAACGCCGGTTTTAACGAGGCCGAGCAGAGCTATAAAAAGCAAGTCTTCGCTACTCAAGACATCTACTTCAAGGCCGGCTAACATCACATCCAACTCATAATCATTACACTTTTCCCTCACAAAAAAAGTCAAAAAAGCCAAAAAGCCAAAAAGTCCTTCCCAAACCAAGCTTTTTAGCCCAGGCTAAAATAGCCAAAAAAGTCAAAAAGCCAAAAAGCCAACCCACTTCCCAAATGGAGGCTTAATGACCTAACAAAAAGTTTAAGATACTGATGCCTCGTTTGAGAAGCATTTAGTTAAAAAGTCATTAAAAAAATTAAAAAATTAATAATTTACACTAAAAAATTAAATATTTTTTTTTTCTCTACTTTTTATATATCTTTTTGTAAAAATTTAAAAAATCATTCTAAACATACTAGTTTTTTTTAACTCATATTTTAGTCAAATAGTTAAAAAATTACTAAATTAATCTGTTCCCAAACGAGGTTAAATTAGCCTGTTCCTATGTGAAACCTTGTCCTTTTCCAAGCAGAATATTCATGCTCTGCTGTTGCTATCCAACATGAATCCTCTGTTTTGCCGTTCTTTTTGTCAAGTTTCTCTCTCACTTCGCTTGGCTTGTGACAGCTAATAAAACTATAAAAAAATAAAATACAAATGTAAGTGACTCAAAAGAAAAATGTCAATATCATTTTAGTTTACTTTGTAGAAGTTGATAAATTCGATTGAGTAAGATTGGATCTTAAAAAATTTATTAAATATTTCATATATTATGTACATGAAAGAAATAAACCTTCTCGTATAATTCTGTTGATCAAGTCTGCGTTCCTCCATACGACGTCGCTTTACTCCCTGAAAACACAAACGTGAGCTAGCCGGCGGGTGTGTGCCGGATACCTCTCCGATACCTAAGTCAGCAAGATAGACAAATAGACAAAAGCTCTGCGTATTCGAGAATCAAAGTTGTGTTACCTCTCCAAAGGTGATGTTGTGAGCTTTTACAGGTTCCGCGTGGCACAATCCTAGTATAACTCTTACTCATCCATGTAGAGTCCTCCTTGGATTTACACTCATGAAATATAATGCTTATCCTTCAACACCCCCCTCACTGCTTAAAACAAGTGAGATAGTTTTTCCATGGTTGGACTCCAATATGACCGAGGTAAGCCTAGCTATGCTAAGCCGTAGATCAGACCGGGATAACTCTACCTCGGTTCCTCCTGTATAAACCATAGCATAATTGGACCGAGCTAACAATTAGTATGGTTCCGACCGATCTAATACCACTGCGTCGTGACCGGTATAACTTTTAGTATGGTGACCGAGCTAACCGTAACTCTTTGGGACTGGAGTAACTTCAAGTCTTTCGCGGACCGGAGTAACTTTATACCTCTCTCGGGCCGGAGTAACTTTATGGCCTGTTTATTCAGCTCTTTGTACTGTGGCCCATAACGGCCCATTACCCAGCTCGGCCCAACTTTCATATAAATTACCCTCTCATGTTACATGAGTTTGAAATGCACGTGTGAGATATTTGATAAAAATATTTTATAAATCTTTTGAGATTTCTAATATTTTTCAATTCAATTACCTTACTTCAAATTTAAATTTTCCATCTATAATTGCCTGTGTAATTGTCTTTCTTTCTTTTTGTTTCATTTTTTTAAGGTGGGCAAAACTCACTTTACCCTATTTAAGTCTTTCTGTTTTAAAAATAATCGTTTATACCCACATGATTTTAGGCTATGTGGTCTTTTGGCAACATGGTAAAAAGTTACGTTTGCAGCTTGGAAAAAAAAGAAGCTATATTGGCTTTTTTTTAACAAGAAATCATTTGGTAAGGTGAAAAAAAGTTACATGAGAAATTACAATTGTACCCTTTATATTGTTTAGGGTTATACATGGGTGAACATGTAAATTTTCTAAATTGGGTGAGATAGTTTGATCATTTTATTATGATGTGACATCATAAATAAATATTAATCAAAAAAATCAAAATTAATTTTTTATCAACTTCTCAAATCACTTTCCAAAAAAGCCAAAAAATTTGGTAAAAAGTCATTTTTTATCATTTTTCCAAAACACCCCTATATAATACAACTCTAATTTTGTTAATTTTACTTGTAAAAAGACACTTACACCATTGGGGACAAAAAAATAAAACATACACTGAAATGTGATTTTTTGACCTAAAAATATAAACAGCAAATACAATTTTAAAAATAATCATTTATTTTTTATAATATAAATATAATTCAAATATATAATTATCGATATTTGATTATTTTAATTTTTTATATAAATATTTTATCAAAACATCAACAATTTAAATTATTCAAATCGATTCCAAAATTAACTCACTTAACCAAAACTATTTTTTTAATATGGTTGGTCAAGTTAAGAGGATTCAAACCTATAAATAATTTTTTTTATAATATTTTTGCTTTCCTTATTAATAACCCGATACTGTCTCTAGCATCCCAGGAACAGAAAGTTGTACACAAAAAGTATGTTGATTTAGATTGACCGGATAACAGGAGCTTGTAATTTACTGAATTGTTAGTTTTAGGATATATTATCTCTTGATTATTTGGTTAGATTAGATTTGTATTATATATTTGTTTAGTCATAGGATTAGATGTCTAGATTGGATTATTTTATTAAATCCTATGGCCTCGTTTGAGAAGTGGCTATTTTAGAGGCTTTTTGACTTTTTGACTATTTTAGTAGGCTATTTTAGTTTTTGTGTTTGGGAAGATGAGATGGATTTTTATTTGAGTTGTTATATTGAAAAATGTGTTGAAATGATATTTGAAGTTAAAATGACAAATTTGTCCTTAAGATTACAATTTTTTAAATTGATATAAAAGGGCAAAATCGTAATTTACTAGTTGATGTAACAATTTGTCAATTGACAGTGTAGGCTGTGCCTACACTGCCGGCAGCTGCAGCCTATATTTTTTATTTTTTATTTTTTTTTGAAAAACTTTGAACAGTGGGGTTTTTTGGCTTATTTGTAATTTGAGGCTATAATAGCCTCAATCCTTTCTTCCCAAACAGCGCCTATGTTTGTTTAGTCATGAGATTACATATTTGGATTAGACTATTCTATTGAATCCAATGTGTATCCTATTTTATTTATTTATTTATTTTACGCCTATGTTTGTTTAGTCATGAGATTAAATATTTGGATTAGACTATTCTATTGAATCTAATGTGTATCCTATTTTATTTATTTATTTTTTTTAAAATTAAATAAATAGAACATCAATAAAAATAATATAAATTTATTTTAAATTTTAATTGAGATTATTTTATTTTAAATTAAATAAATTGAATAAATTGAGCTTTTAATTTTATTTTTAATTTACTAAAATTATATAAATTTTATTTTAATTTTATTTCAATGAACTTAGGATAATCTCAATCTTGAGCTTATATCTTGAGTTTTTTGTCCCACACCTCTCCCTTGGGATAAAATTATCCCACACAGAGTATTTCATCTACCGAATTATCCCACATCTACCGATAAAACTATTAGTCTGGATCATAATCCGAAACAAAATTTTTGAACCAAACAATAGAGTATTTCATCTACCGAATTATGAATCTTAACCCACGCCACTATACCTCCAAACAAACGTACTCAAAGCTCTCATCTTTGTAACCACATAAAAATAAATTATATAAAAAATAATATTAGGAATCATAAAAAAATTTTAAAAAATATATCATAAAAATTTATTTTCCTCTAATTAAAATATGATATTTTATTATATATATAATCTAAAAATAAAAAATCTTTAATAATCATTTTTATAATATTTTTTTCATAATTGATGACCTTGCTCTTAAATAAAATAAGAGTAATCTGATCTTGTCTCATCTCTCATCAAATATCCGTAGTAACCCCTCTCTTTCTTCTACACCCTTCACCCTTCTCTCTCTCAAACTCCCACCATGTAAGACTCCCACCATTTCCTCACCACCCCACTAACTTCTAAACTTGAAACTAATCCCAAACTTCACACACCCAGAATAAAGCTTCCAACACCAACCGCCACAAAACCATGCACATGCAAAATCCTTATCAACCCATCAAAGAAGACTCTGAGTCCACCGCAGAAAATTACTCTGCCGCCGGAGAAAAACCCATTTTTCATTCCGCCACATGAGCTGAACCCACTTCAGAAGCTAGCAGCCTCTGCCCTAGACATGGTTGAAAATTCAGTGATCATGGAATTAGAAAAGAAACACGGGCTGACCCGGATTGTCGACCCGGAGGTTCAGCTGGAGGGGAATTTTGCCCCTGTCAGGGAGTGCCCCGTTCAGCACGGTCTCCAGGTGATGGGTCAGATTCTGGCGGGTCTATGCGGGGTTTATCTGAGAAACGGAGCCAACCCGATGTTCCAACCAACCAACGACCACCACATGTTTGACGGCGACGGCATGATTCACGCCGTTACGTTGGGACACGGGAACAAAGCCAGCTATTCTTGCCGCTTCACTCGCACGAGCCGGCTCGAACAAGAAACCGCATTGGGTAGGCCGATATTCCCCAAGCCGATTGGCGAGCTGCATGGCCATTTGGGCGTGGCTCGGCTGGCTTTGTTCTTCGCTCGCTCGAGTATTGGTTTGGTGGACTCGTCTAGAGGCACTGGCGTCGCTAATGCTGGGTTAGTTTATTTTAATGGTCGACTTTTAGCCATGTCAGAGGATGATCTTCCGTATCACGTCGGCATGACGAATGATGGTGATCTCGAAACGATCGGACGGTTCGATTTCAACGGCCAGCTTGAAGGGTCCATGATCGCTCATCCTAAGGTGGACCCTATCACAGGTGAACTTTACGGTGTAAGTTACGACGTTATAAAAATGCCGTACCTGAGGTACTTCAAATTCGACACGTGCGAGAAGAAGTCACGTGACATACCCATTTCCCTCGAATTGGGATCCTCCCCTTGAGCTCCCTCCTTCATTCCCTCCTTGCAGGGGCTTTCGGGTCCACTTTGAGGCCCAGTTTTGATAATTCGAACCGTTCATATTTTTAGATTTATTCAGTATATCATACCTGTAAAAAATCAAGTTGATCGAATATCATAAAGTATGTGTTCGGAAAACTGTTTATTAAAAAATAGTTTATAGTCACAATTTTCTGAACGTATACTTTCTGATATCCGATCAACTTGATTTTTTACAGGTATAATATACTGAATAAATCTAAAAATATGAACGGTTCAAATTATTAAAACTAAGCCTCAAAGTGGACCCGAAGGCCCCTGCAAGGAGGGAATGAAGGAGGGGCTCAAGGAGGGGATCTGGACTCATTTCCCTCCCCCAGCCGACTATGATTCATGACTTCGTAATTACGGAAAGTCACGTGATCATCCCGGATCACCAAGTTGTGTTCAAGCTATCTGAGATGATCCGAGGTGGGTCACCCGCTATCCACGACCTGAACAAGACATCCCGGTTCGGGATTTTGCCCAAAAATGCAATGGATGAATCGGGAATTCAATGGATTGATGTACCAAACTGCTTTTGCTTCCATTTATGGAATGCATGGGAGGAAAATATGAAAGAAGGTGATCCGGGTATCGTGGTTATCGGGTCGTGTATGACCC